TATTTCACTGCAATAAAATAGGGTTTATAAGACACACTACAATAAAATTGGATTTATAAGACGGTTAAAATGTTTAAACGTCATAATAATATACTTTATAGAATTTAAATTTATAGGAGTAAACTATAAAGTATCATATCTGAAAATGTTATAATATGTTTATAGGATGTTTTTAGGCGTTTTAACAAGTTTCTTAGAACGTTTTAGAAAATAAAATGTCGTGTTATTTATTTTATAGAAAGATTTTGAGAAATGTACTATAAACCCATTTTTTATAGGATATTTTGTGTTTATATGACACTTTTTCAAATATTATCATATAGAATAATTATTACAACACTTTATTTTAAAGATGTCTTATAAAACTTGTTAGAACATCTAAAAGAATCATATAAACTTATTGCAACATTTTTAGATAATACGATCTTATAAGTTGGTCATATAAACTTAAGTTTTATAAAATAGGCTATTAAGACGCTTTAATATTTTAGACGTGCTATAAACCTATATGTTCTAGTGATGTTTAAAATATGTAAGTATCATGAATAGTGTGTTTTATACAACCAAACATTAATGTCATATCTAAAAGTGTTACGATGAATTAATATGATGTTTTTGGATGTTTTAACAAGTTTTTTTAGGACAACTTTAAAATAAAAGATCATGTTAGCTATTTCATATTCGAAAATTGTCCTATAAAAATAAATATCTTATAAAATGGTTAATACAACATTTTATTTGAAAAACATTTTAAAAATTGTGTTAAAACGTTCAAAAACGACTTATAAACTTATTTAACATTTATAGATGGAACAATTTATGGTTTAGTTCTATATAAAACATTATATTATGACATTTAGGGGCCGTTTACTAAACACTTATCCAGTAAGTGCTTACCGAGTAATTTTCTTTACCGGATGAACATGGTAATAGTTTAGAATCTTACTCGGTTAGAGCGGTAAAAGAACCGAGAATCTTACCCGGTAAGAGCAGTGAAAGGATGAAGAGTCTTACCTAGTAAGTGAGAGTGACGACTCTTACTCAGGTAAGTGCTTACCGGATAAATTGTTGCATACTATATCGTTTTGATGCACTATAGTCTTACCCAGTAAAATAAATTATAGTGTTCACTCCTATCGGTAAGTACTTAATGGGTAAGTATTTAAGTAAACGGCTCCTTAGACATTTTAGGTGTTATATGAACCGAATTTAATTTGTTGTAGCATTGTTAAACATCCCAATTAATCTTTTTAATTAACGATGATGTTACATAAATGAATCTATATATAAATTAAAGGAGAAACCAACTAGAATGACATGGCATTATGAGATTTGAGTATTCTTCAAATCTTGAAGTGTGGTTAAATTTGTTTATCTCACATTGGTGGGAAGAAAAATAGTAGAAGGAATGATATGTGTATATATATATATGACAAGATGAGGTGATTCTTTTTATTGTAAGTCATGATGTTGGCTCAAATGAGTCAACCACTTCATTTGCAATTGTCATTACGAGATTTGAGTTTTTTCCTTAAATCTTGAAATGTGGTTAAGTTTGTTTATATCATATAAAAAGAGAACTTTAAAATATTGAGATGACATCTTGTGATTGGTGTATTTTAAAATATTGCGTTGTGGTTGGTTTTTGGAAATCCCACATTGATGAACAAATGATACAATGATAGAGTATGATAGGTATATATAAAGTAAGCATGTGATGGTTTGAAAATTAAAAGAGCAATATAAATATGTGAGCTATTGTTTGACCTATAATTTTGGATTTTTAGTTGTTTTTTTTTTAATTATCAAAGACCAACAATCGAAGTTGAGGTGACATTATATAATTTTTGACAACTTAGGATGTTGGCTCCTTTTGATCAATCCTCTAAACTCACGTTATTGGCTCATTTTGGCCAACCCTCCGAACTCATGAGCTTACTCATTTTGGTCAACCTTATTTTAGCAAAAAGAATGAGGTGACATTAAATGAAGAACAGAGAGGCATTGACCTGACATTATGAAAATGAAGTATTTCCAAATAGTGAATTGTTGTTGAGTTTTAGATATCTCACTTGGTGAGAAATCGAAAAAATATAATAAAGAGACATGTATAATAATGAAGGATATAGCCCGATGGGATGATAATTGTGTCAACTAATGAGGGTTGACTCATGAGTTGTCTTATTTTTATAGTCCTATTTTTGCAAAATAGCATTTATTATATAAAACAAATCTTATTAAAAGATCAACCAAGTATTGTAAGGTGGCATTAAGACTTGAGTATTCTCAAATATTGAAATGTGATGTGTTTTGATTATTCCATGTTAGTAGGAAAATGGTAGATTGGAAAAAAAAAACATGTCTTTGAAATCTATAGTCGTGGGTTGGAATCAAAACCAATTCCAACCAAACGATAAAAAATATAGTTATAAAAAACCATGGTTGAAATCTATCAAAGTCAATCAAATGGTAAAACTTATAATTATGAAATATTTTTCTACATGTAATCAAAAGTATGAAAGATGTCTTTCAAATGTATAGGCATGGTTGAAATCAAAACCATTTCCATCCAAATAATAAAAATTATAGTAATGAAAAACCATGGTTGAAATCAAAGTCAACCAGATGGCAAAACCAATTAGTAATTTTTATATTTATGAAAACTCATGGTTGAAATCTATCAAAGCCAATCAAATAAAACTTATAGTTATGAAATATTTTTCTACATGTATACAAAAGTATGAAAGATGTATTTCAAATGTATAGTCATGATTAAAATCAAAATCATTTCCATCCAAACAATGAAAATTATAGTAATGAAAAACCATGGTTGAAATCAAAGTCAACCAGATGACAAAACCAATTAGAGTAAAACTTACAAGGGATGACGTGACATCCTAAGGAGTGAGTATTCTTCATTTCTTGAATTGTGGTTGAGTTCCGTATATCCCACATTGATGGAGATATGAAAGATTTACAATGAATGGTGGGTATAAGAATGGAGGTTGAGATGTCTTTGAGGCAACTTATGAGGTTGGCTCCTCTTGACCGATCCTCTAAACTCATGTTGTTGGCTTATTTTGTCCGACCCTCCGAGCTCATGGGTTGACTCATTTTGGTCAACTCTTTTTTTAACAAAAAAAAATGTTAACCATACAAATAAATTGGCTAAAATATAATTTTTGACCGACCTTTTGCAAAAAGAATATATATATATATATATATATATATATACACACACACACTATATTATAAAGCATTTAACAAAAACTCTTAAAAATTATTTTTTATGCATGAAGTACTATTTATTGATGCATATTACTTAAAATTCAAGATTACAAGTAAATTGTGCATGAGTACAACTTATTAAAGCTCTATGTTTGAATTCGTGTAACTAACTGTAGATAAACATAATCAAATAGAGGATAAACATCTTATTTTAAAATCTAATAAATCTAAAATATAGTTAGGATAATTATAGAGTCTAACAGAATACTTAATTATTATCTTTATAAAAAAAAATATTATTAAACCTAAATTAAGTCTTCGTTACGATAAATTAAAT